AGCTAATATGACAGTAAAAGAGAGACAAGATGATATTTTGACCAGATAGCCTGTATTCTCAGGTTTCTACTAAAGGAATGAGTGGGAAAGACCCTGGACTGCTTAGATCCTGACTGGCCTGGGTACAGCCGCTAGCCCCAGAGGGAAGTCCCCCCACATAGCTGGCAAGTGGATTAGATTTAACCAATGCAGGAATCCCTGAGGAGCTACAAATGGGTCCTGACAGGAATAGTTACTTACTCTGGCTAGATTTTACTACTCAGTGGTAGATGCAAATGCTCAAAATACTATTAAAGGATTGAAAAAAAAGGTACTGTACCAATTTGGGCCCCCAAGTTAATATCTTCAGACCAAGAATCAAACTTTATAGCCCATAGCATCCAACAGTGGGCAAAGAGATATCAGATCAAATAGACATATCATGTTGCATATTATCCACAGAGAATTAGAACAAATAATTGAAATGTTTTAATAGGGAATTAAAACAAATAATTGAAACATTTGTTGTCTAATATGAAGGGAGGAAAATAAAGTCATGAGGCACTTGTTTGAATGAGTTTATAAGAATGTATGCTCACGTTCAACATGGCAGGGGTAGGTGGCAAGGGAGAGTCCCCTCTGGACAGATTCTACCACCCTTCTAGGGGATCTGAGGAAAACAGAGTGAAGGAGGATTCTGGTATGTTGCAAGCCATCTGTGGGCTGCATGTGGGCCGCAGCACATCGAAGCCTATTGAATAGAAGAATCTGGTGTCTGGGACTGGCCAGTGGACACATCCTCTGGTTGACTGCCCTGATTCATAGTGAGCCCTATTCAAGCTCTGCCAAAAGTCCCATACAGCACCGAAGATGGGGTGACATGGGGCTGGGGATGTGGCTCAAGCGGTAGCGCGCTCGCCTGGCATGCGTGCGGCCCAGGTTCGATCCTCAGCACCACATACAAAAAAAAAACAAAGATGTGTCCACCGAAAACTAAAAAATTAAATTAAAAATTAAAATTCTAAAAAAAAAAAAAGAGATGGGATGACAGATGGGGTGACCTGCTATGGCCACACAACCCCTCTGAGATGGGTATGACCTACCAAGATGTCAATCAACCTGCTGACTGCAAGACATCAGGAAGCAAGACTCCACCCTTGAAACCTTATCCCTGACTTTTATGTATCCCCTTAAATAAACCACTGGAGCCATTTTCTTTTGTCTGGCTCAAGCTCCTGTGTGAACTAAACCTATCAGGGGTTCCGCTTTTGAAAATATCTTTCTGACTCTTGTCTTTTGTTCTTCACTAATTATTGTAGACTTTAATTTCTCAGGTGGCTTATACCCTTCTCAGCAGGAAGAAGAACCCCCCCAATGAGACGCTGGCATGACTATACTGGTATGACTATGAGATTGTTATCTATATGACCTCAACTTTCTTTTTTTTCCCACCTGATGCAAAGATCTCAGGACCAGAGATGAATCTGCAGATACCAGAAGCAAGGATGATTCCCAAACAAGAAACCGTAACTGTTTCTTTAAATATTTCTATCAGAATTCCTAAGAGCCTAATGGAGCATATTGTGCCTTCAGCCTATCTGTAAAATATTTGAGTTGACAATAAATGCTGCTGTACTGGCTAGTGGTTAAGACAGCCCACCAGTTTCATATCTATACAACCCTACTCTACATGAATGGGGGAGGACTGAAGGGGAGACACTTGTTGCCAGTGATGTACGCCAGGACAGTGGTCAGACTTACATATCTTCAAAAGTAGGAAAGTTTGGATATAAATGAAGAGAAGGAAAAATAATAGCTGATGGATGGCAAATAAATGAATAAATGGGTTATACAATTAGAGTAATCAAGTATTATACTAACACTTCAAAAGAATTCCAGAGCAAGAGGTGATATTGTCATACCAGCTGTCTGAAAGGGTGAAGCCAAAGGTTGCTGAGATCACTCCTGGTTTTGGAACCTGAAAAGATTGCGTAGAATCATAAAAATCTGAGTGGCCATCTTACTGAAACTGATAGTTGCCTGGTGTTGGAAAATTGGATTTTATTTCCCTACCCTACACTGATACTTCCAAATATTAGGCTTTGCACATTAAGTGTATGCATGTTGGTAGTCCGCTGTATCTGCTATATCAATAATACACCAAATGTAGACTATCAGACAGGTATGACCCTTTTGCTGAAAGACCATGGACTGAACAGTGATATGATAAAGAATATGTCTGATCTTTGTCCCCATTTTATGGCACAGAGTTTCAAAATCCTTTGGAATTCATGAGTAAAAGGAGTCTCTCGGGCTGGGGATGTGGCTCCAGCGGTAGCGCGCTCGCCTGGCATGCGTGCGGCCCGGGTTCGATCCTCAGCACCACATACCAACAAAGATGTTGTGTCCTCCAAGAA